TGGCTAACTAACCATCCGTCCACTAGAGCCCAAGCTTCTAGAAAGGAGACAGCATGCCTTCTGTTGGTTCAGCCATGATGAACTCATCTCTCCACTGCCTGGCAAACAAATATTTGTCCTCAGTAAAAATGGACTGAACATAGGGAGGCCTCAGTCTGAAGTATACCCGGACAGTGCTGAGTGTGAGCCGAACCATGTGCCATTCCCACACCTGGCACATCCTGCCTGCTGTGAGCAAACCCCTGAACGCTGATATGACTCAGAAGCGCCTGTCTCTACACCAGCTCTGTGGCTGGGACTCCAGTTTTCAACTCCTAAGACTTCACAAAGACGCTGGAAGGGCTCTCTGCACCCTACCCTGCGCAAGCTGCACCAGCTCCCTCTTCGAGGGGCCAGGCCATAACTGTCTTTATCTTGGGAAACATTGTTTAGCCAAGAGCTAGAGCTAGGAAGAGTGAAAATAAAGCCAAAACCAAATCCTAGCTGCCCCAGGAAGATGTTCCCAGGGCATTGTTTGTATTTCTTGGGCTGCAAACAGGACACGCTGCTTCTGACATTGGCCTTTTGTTTCACCGTGATAACCAAGGGCCCTCTGCCTTCCTGCACACTCCCTTTCGCTCATGACAACTCTCTGTAACACTCAACATTCGTGTGCGACCACGCAGATCCTGACAAATCGTTTGCCTTAGCACAGACTTTCTTACAGATTGTTGACTGTGTCGAATAGCTTGTTATGTTTTGACAGTAGCTTTTCCTTTAGGATTTTATGGTTCTACAGGATCCTTTACTAAAAACCTGCTTCCTAGACTTTCCTGGGGCTTGAATTAATCTAGCTGAGGCACCGTGGTCCAATGGACATTGAGATACTAATTCAGGGTTGAGCTGAGGTTCAGCTCTGTCTCCTTAAACAGGTGCGCTTGCAGAAATAGCCTGTATATGAAAGACAATTGAATAGAAGATACCTGAATAAGCATAATTAATGTTTTAATATGAAAGTTCTAGAGCCAGTCACTTTCGCTAAGCCTACTAAGTCTGTAATCTTGCACTATAAATACTATAAATAAAAGAGCATATACAAATAGTTTTCCTTTCTTTGGTATTAACAATATTTACTCAGTGCTTATTAGTATGTGCCAGACATTGCTATAAATCTTGCCCATATATTAATTTATTTAATCGCACAGCAGCCCTTGGAGGAAAACACAATAATTATTTCACTGTGCAGATAAAAACATAAAATAAAAAACTGATGTACCAGAAACTCAAGTCATTGCTTCTAACACCTTAACTTTGACCTTAACGTGAGCTCACTCAGGTCCTCTGGCCTCTACCAATGTAGATCCCATGCAAATAATCTCTTTCCAGGCCCAAATCTTCACTTACACTTGGTTTTATTTCCTTTTTTTTTTTTTCCCTCACCACCATGCTTTGTGTTCCCTATACCTTTCCCTACCCCCCTTTAATCTCAGAGTTCTCAGAGTCCTCACAGCGTTACTCATGTCCACTTTTGGAAAGAGTTTTACCTTATCCAATAGTCTGCTATGTTATCGTCCAGTATTTTGTGTTTATGGGTCTGAGTTACTTTACGGCATGTAATTCTCTCAAATTCCTTCCATTTTGTTGAAGATGTCTGCATGTCATCCTTTTTATGGCTTTATAATGTTACCCAGAGTGAGCTATGCCACCCCTTCTTGATCCAGTTGTGCATAGATGGGCATTTAATCTGCCTCCATATTCTTGCCATTGTAAATAATGCTGCTGTGGACACTGTAGAACACGTGGGCTTTTGTGCTGGGGCTTTTGTGCTGATGATTTCATATTCTCTGGATAGATGCCCAGGCGTGGGATTGCTGGGTTGTACAAAAAAAGATCATATTTAGCTTTTTTTTTAAGATTTATATATTTATGCATACAGAACTGGGGTACAGGTCAGAGGTGCAGGGGCAGTAAAGGATTCACCAGAAATAGAGTGGGGAGCAGAACAGGCAGATGGACGAAGTACACTCCTGAGGGGAGCAGCGGGCAAGGCAGGAGAGGTCTGCCACACCGTGTGGGTCACCTCCGGGGTGGGGATCGAACTTGCACTAAAGCAGCTGCGGCCAGTTTGCAGTGCTACATCCTAACCCTTTGTGCCACCAGGGAGGGCCTGTGTTTATCTTTTTAAGGTAAATCCATAATGTCTTTCCATAAATCTACACCAGTTCACATTCTCACCAGCAGTATAGTCGGGTTCTTCTTTCTTTGCATCCTCTCCAACTCTTATTGTTGGGGGCCTTTTCAAAATACACAATTTTCACAAATATGATGTGTAGCTCATTGTGATTTTAGTCTGCATCTTGTTAGAAGTGATGATGGCGATTTTTTCCTATGTCTTTGGCCTCCTGGATAACTACTTTGTTACATCTTACTGTGTCATGTACCCTATTATTTTGTGAAGAATGAGGTTAGACCTTTATTTTCCCTCATTTTAAGCAGCTCGATATTATGATGGAATTGATGCAGGTGGACCCAGATTTAAGATCCATCTTTACCCCTTATCAGGTATATGATCTTGGGCAAGTTCCTTAATTTCCCTGAGTCCATTTGCTGTTTTGTAGAATAGGGATCTATTATAGGTACTGTAAGAAGACAATGAGAGGACTATGTAAATCACCAGATGTGATCAAAAACATATCTTACTCAGTGTGTAAGCCCACCCTGGAGTTACATTAATTCACAGGGGGAAAAAATTCCACCATTAAATTAAAAATTTCATACTGTAAATCATGTTCTATTGACTAAAAAAAAATCCCTAAGAGTCCCAGTTATATCCAGAGATAACAACATTTACACAAAACCCATATTTTCCCAGCCTAATCAAAAATTTTATCTGCAGCAACAAAACATTACTCTAGAAGACTAGTGATTAAAGTGATGATTAGCTGAATGAGCACAACTTAATTGCAGAACTGGTAAAAGTGCGGACATTTCGCTAACTCGATTCTCCTCTCTGCACAAGTCCATAGCCAGAGCCCTTCACTAGCCCATGTCTGTGATTGTGCCCACAAACCCATAAGCACACCTGGTATTGTAAACCTTTCTGGGTTTCTGCCTGTAAGTGCAACAATGACGTCTGCAGGGAATTAGGATAAAGGCTTTCAGAGAGAAGCCTCAGTGGCTTGCCCTCATCCTCTGTTCCTCTGTCCAAGTAATGTCACTTTGTTTACCACACCCTTCCCCTGCCGGTGAGCACTAATTATATCTTCTATCCCGAAACTGCCTCCTTCCTTGAGGAGAGGGTGCATTGGGTGCCTGACATGAGGCAGCAATCCAGAGCTTGATCACACACCTATATTTTAGGAGCTTGTCCCATGTGAATGCTTTCTTGGTGATCGGATTTAGCAAACAGAAAGACAATGGAAGTTGTCAAAGGAGGGCAGAAAGGAAAGGAAAGTAAGAGATGCCTGAAGCAAGTAAGACTGGAGAGACCCTGGAACGTCACAAAGCAGTACGCCAGGTAAAGTGAAGGTAGAAACTGGATCCCCCATAACTGGAGCTAGAAGCAGATGGTGGGAGAAGGAAGCTCCTAGCCTGCTCTGATTTCATTCTGTTCAGTTGTGGCTCTAGCTTACCTGTGTCTTTCCACTAGACCTGCAAATGTTTGACCTGCGTTGTCTATTTTGGTGCATAGGGAGCCGAATGAGACATTCACAGTACGAACTTGTGACTGAGGAGACACACTGACTTAGCAGATACGTGACCCGCCCACATGTCCCCCCCGAGCAGGTGACACACCTTAGCGCTGCCAGCAGTCAGGCCGTGGACGGCATCGGTGGGCGGCCCCGACCACCAAGACTGAGTCTGAGGCCAGTGTCTGCTCTTCTCCACAGGCGTGGGGGAGACACATTCAGAGAGGGGGTGCTAAAAGTACAGCTGAAATTACGGGCAAGCAGGTGGGGCCTGCAGATGTTTAGAATTAGGATGACTATAGACAAATGTGTTTCCCGGGATCCACCAAGCTTGCTTTTTAAAATTATTTTTATATCTGGTAAACAAACCCATATTCTCTCCTTGGTTGCAAATAGACAAAGTCTTTGGGGAATGATAATACTTGTGCTGGTTAACACCGTTTGCTGTTCTTCCCTGGAAATTGCATAATTCACACATCAACATGATTCTCTCAATTGGGAGTTTAGAAAACTCGGGCTTTCAACATAAACACTACCATTGGCAGTTCCCCTTCAAGGCAGGCTGCAGCACACCTGACACCAAAGCCCTTGATTTGTTTCTGCTTTGCTTTAAAGTCCAAATGCTACTTTAGCCACAGTGCTCATCACTCTGTTAAAACACGACATTAAGTCTGAAACCCGTGTCACGAGTCCCCAGTGTGGGCCAGGGGCACGAGACAGCAGCTTTATGAAGCAAACTGACCCGTTGCGGTGAACCAGGTTGTGCCGGGAAATGTCCCCTCTGCATATATTACGAAGACATTCCCACCCCTGTCTACCCTTGTCCTTTCTTCATTAGTGGAACTAGACATCCTCAATCAATCTGAAGGCACATTTGAAGAAGTTACCATATCTCCACTGTACAAATCCAGCACGGGCTTCGTCACCACGACCGCATGCACAAAGCAATATGCGGCGAGTCCAGGCTCTTTGAGGGGGCCCGGGCGCTCCCCTGAATCCCCTCTCCTGTACCCTGTACTCTCCAATACCAGGGGAGACATCTGTCTGCCCTTGACAGCCTGTCAGAGTTAGAATCCACTAAAAGCAACAGGAACCAAAAATATCTAGGAGGCTTCTTTGTGTGACAGATTTGAACAAGTTGGATAAGCAGCTGGTGCCTATCCCTGACAAGCGTGTGCAGGCACACGCACGGCCAAGCACACCCACAAGCACACGTGTGTGTTCGGGAGGTGTGCATGGGACCCTCGCCCCTGTCCTCATGGGGTGATTGTGAAGTGGTTGACAATAGAATAGTGAGCTACTAAGTCCTAAACCAATACGTTCATCTTACAGGGCCGTTGTTCAAGAGAGAACTGCAAGTATCTTCACCCTCCAACACATTTAAAAACGCAACTAGAAATTAATGGGAGGAACAATTTGATCCAGCAAAAAACTGCAGCAGCGATGCTGGCCCAGCAGATGCAATTTATGTTCCCAGGAACCCCGCTTCATCCAGTGGTGAGTACAGCCTGCTCCTGGTGGGGTGCTTGGTGCTGCTGAAGGCGACACGCCTGGCAACCCAATGCCCCCCTTCTTCAAGTAAGGCAAATGACTTTGAAGCTAAGTAGATGCTAAAAATGGTTTTTAAAAGGTTCTAAAGTGGAAATAGATGTATGTGGCCGCAGTGGGCCAAGACCGTTCCCAGTGGTAACTGGGAAATGGTTTCGTTCCAAAGCGTTCTCCCCAGCAGACCCCGTACTTGAGTCATCTGAGAGGAGAACTCCTTTAGAGCAGAAATTGGTGACCATCTTTATCAGCGCAGCAGAGTGTTCACGTCTAGGGCACCATGGCAAGGCTGAGGCGTGAGAAACCGGAGAAGTTAGATGATTCACCCAGTGTCGTAGAGCTGAGGAACTACAGGGCTTGGTCATGGTGGCCGAGACCTGGAGATCCTGCACCTGCAACAGCCCCCGAAAGGCTCTCGGCCCGCCTCTACCACCTGTGAACGGTGTGGCAAGATGGCTGGGACCCGAAATGCCCAGGGGACTCAGTCGCTGAGTGGTTATGGTGTCACATTTTCCCCTTTCTACCGTGCTTGAAAGTGCCTCTTAAAAGTCTGAAAACTGTTTTTAAAATGAGGCCTGGAGAAGTACATTTGACTTCAGCGAACACCATTTCCATTTGTGATTATTTGTCAGAGACAAGATAAATTTTTAAAAATCAAGCCTGTGAAATGTACTTTTTTACCAAAGTGTACTCCACACACACAAAAGACTATTGTTTAAAAATCAGTCTCGATTGTATAAAAATGCTGTGTTCTTGAAAAGCAAGGGGACAGCGGGCGTGAGTTCAGTTTGCCTATTGTGTGTCTCAGAGAGGAGATGGGGAGAGGGCCAGGGAGGGGAGAGAGGTGCTGGACAGCTGGCAGACCTGCTTGTCTTAAGGTTTCTGTTCAAGAGTCATGGCCCAAAGTAACCAGGAACCAGGTCTGTCCAGGTAATGAATGAATAAGGTGCAGTCTTGGGTGTACAGACATGGGAAAAGCCCAGTGAGATTCACGCACAAGGAATTATGATCTTGGATGAGACAGGAAAGACTCTTGGACAAGGCTCCAAGACACCCAGACAGAAGACCAGCCTTGAGTTCTGGACACACGGAACGCCCCAAATAGGCATCTAAGTAGATCTATTGAAACTCGCATACATGTATAATTTATGGCTCTCTTTACTGATGCCTGAATGTAAATTATTTTATTAAATTATCTAAATGCTGAAATAATTTTATTATACGCATTAAATAATGTTTATGGGGATAAATTTAGAACCACCAAGGTCAACATCGTAACATTCCCTATATATCTCACGCATTTTAATCATTCTCTTCCTATTTGTTTAGAGTTTATAAGAGTTGACCCCTGTCCTCAATAATGCTAATGTTAATAAGAAAATTCCATTTTGTTGCCAACTTTAGTGAAACCTTTTTTTAAGTTATGCCTTTATTTGTCTCAAAATTAATAAGTTAATAATCCTGGTTACTCTATGAAAAAGGAAGATTATGTTTAAATATGTTCATAAAGGTTTTCCAGCTATGAGAACTATTAGAATTTTTAAAAGATGGTGAATTTGAAAGAGTCATCAAGTTTGCAGACAAATAATTCCACGGTCTCAGGGAAGAATTAGTGGACAAGTGAGTAGAGCTTCATCATGGCACCCGAAGATGCATGGAGCTATAAATGTCACCTCTGTGGAAACAGGGTCTTTGCAGATGGGCTTAAGTCAGACATCTTGAATGGGGTGATTCTCCAGGACTAAACGGAATCACGAGTCCTTGGAAGAGCAAAGAGTGACCAAAGACGTGGACGGTGAGGAAGAGGGAGAAGCTGTGTGAGCAGAGCCAGAGGCTGGCAGGATGAGACCACTCACCAAGAAATGCCCCAGCCAGCAGAAGATGGAAGAGACGAGGAAAGGATTCTTCCCAAGAGCCTCTGGGAGGATTGAGAGCCTTGATGTGGGGCCTTTAGACTTGGTCCCCAGAAAAAGGCAGGGATAAAGGTGCCTTGGGTCGAACCACAAGTTTGTGGTTTGAGTTTGAGTTGCAGCCCCAAGAAACTTGTCTGTGTGGACCTTTGGTGAAAACAAATGCATTGCTCAGCAGAGTAGAGAGGAGCACCCCAATTTCAGGTCTGCAAAGACTGTGGTGCTTTTTCTGCTCCCGATCTTCCTCCCTGAAACCACTTCCCTGAAATCCTTCAACGTGGTCTCCATATTGACCCCCTTTCTTCCCTTGAGCCTGCTGGTGGTGTTCACGCCTTCAAGGCGGCCCTCCCTCTTCTCCTATCTCTGCCCACAAAGCCCCCTGCTCTGTGCCGAGGTTACCAGCACAGACATGTCTGCCCACCCCCTTACCTTGTGATCTCGAGAATCCATGCTGGCAACGGTCAGTCATCTGCCCAGAACAACCAGATGCATAGTCCCGGTTCCGCCCTCTCCTCCAAGCCCCCGCTCCTGATCCCGCTTCCTGGTTAATTCAGAATTCTCACAGGAATGTGGCATTTACAAAACCATATTTCTCTATGCTCCCCTTGCAGGAAATGGGGCCGTCAACCAGCGTGTCAGTCCCAAGCCAGACTCTCACGCCCCGGGCACCAGCACCCTTCAAGGCCATCTGCTCGCCCCCTTTCCCTTTGTCTGGGCCCTCATCCACCTGTTCTCAAACACATATGAACATTTCCTTCCTAGTCAGTTTCCATTCTTGTCTTTTTCCAATATATCCTGCATAGAGCAGCCAGAGGAATCTCTTTAAAGCATAAATGGGGTCCCCTCACTCCCTTAAAATCCTTCAGTGCTTTCCCATCTCACTGAAGACAAAGCATGTGCATTTGGCTGTGACCCTGGCTGTGGCCTGGAAAGCTGACTGTGATCCTCCGCCAGTGCCCTCTCTGCTCAGCTGCCCCCCTGTACCCTCTACATCAAGCCAGGCCTGCAGCTCTGAGAACACCCGAGCTTCATGCGTCGCCTTGACTCTCGCTGAAGTATCTTCCTCTGTGGCGAGTCTGCTTTCCTCATGCAGACCCCAGACCTACCCCTGTGACCCACCACCACTGCATCTCTCTAGCAACAAGGCGCTCTCCTTTCTGTAAAAATGACTTGCGTGGGTTTAGCTTTTGCATTAAGGTTTAAGCTCAGTTAAAATCCAGTCTCCTGGCACCGATTCTGTACCAATGAATATTTGCTGAGTGAAAATGCAAACCTTTCCTTCCCCTTACATCTCTTCTGCTTCAAATTCTCTGTATTTGAAACTCCTCCCGGCCATTTTTCTCTTTCGAATTCCTAGTGGGTGTAACAATGATGTCTTGTTTCCCTCCTTTCCCAGTGTGTCGCCCCACTCCCCATTCTGCACGCCTCCGTGTGTACCCTCAGGATCCAGGTGGGTGCCCCTAGTGGGGTGAAGAGCCCGCGTGGTCCAGACCTTGGGGCTCAAGTCTTGCGTTGAGTTTTGCCCTCCAGAGATGCTTCTGGGAGCAGGGGGGGGAGCAGGCTTAAGATGTGCCATGTTTTAATTTTAAGCCTTTCAATTGGAGGGGCAAAACCTACCCTTTGGAGTTAAAGCCTTCGAAAGGTAGGCATCTCTAGAGCTCTTGTTCTAAAGAGTCAGTTGACCGCATTTGTTGCAAAGTGACAGAGGCGGTCAGGCCATCAGCCACAAGGCCTGGCCACGGGCTTTCCTTACCGCTACAAATTAGTAAAGAACGCACCTGTGTGGGGGAGGGAGGTGGAGTAGGGGTGCACAAGAAGAGAGAGAGAAAGAGATCTTTGAACCTGGATTTAAGAGGTAACAGATGAGAACAGACTGAAGAGTGAGGAATTGGGAAGAAAACCACAGGAGCAGCAGAAAGGGACAGAGGGAAGAAGTGCAAGGCCGGCATCACAGAAGCGAGCGCTCTCCGAGACTTCCCATGACGCTGGCCGTCTGGCCTCGCTAGCTGCAGCCAGGGCTGGGAGATGACCAGGGGCCTGGGCCCCGCCACAGACAGCCTGGCATCAGTGCAGAGCGGAGGCCTCTCCCCGCGGCAGCGGGTACACTTCCAGACAGGGCTGGACGCCACCGTGGGAGTTCATTGCAGTCCAGGAGCTGAGCTCCACTGTGCTGAGACAGCACCCCCCCTCCCCCCCAACTGCAGAGCACCCCAACCGCCTGTGGGGATCAGGGCACACTCTCCACCTGATTGCAGGGCACACTCTCCACCTGCGTCTTCTCTAGGCTCCCAAGATCTAAGGGCTGCTGGTGTTTTCTTCCTTTTACATGTCAAGAAATTGCCAACAGCAGAGAGTGGAAATGGCCCAGACTGCCAGCCCCAGGGCCTTGGGGCTTTGCCTTGACTCCACGCCTCGGCTGCACTGACCTCGGGGTAATCTGGTTAGTCCCTGCGCTGAATTGCTTTCCCAAGGAAAGCTGTGCCGTCCACGGCCACTTCTGCTTCTCCAGGGTGTTAAGAAGATTAAAGCAGACAAAGGTGCGTGAGAATGCGTAGCAAGCAGCCGGAACCTTTCACAAACCTAATAAGGCGGCTGTCGGTAACCACAAGAACCACGATAACCAGATAACCAGCACGGTACCGTCTCTGCAAATTATTGTAACTATTTTTTTACGAATCAACTTCAACAGCGAAAAACACTGGCTAAAACAAGAGAAAAGAGCTCATTGATTCCATCTTTGTGAGGCCTCTGAACTGTTAACTCTCATTTTCACATGACAGGAAGGACTTTCTTCCAGCTCCTATTTCAAAAAAGAATAGATATTTGCTGTCACTTAATACAGTTGTGTGCTTTGCTGAGTAGATTGCAACCAGGAAATGATGTTTAAAAACAGACTTGAGAATGCTAATTTTTACTGTCCTCACGTGAGCTGCTGTTTCTTGAGCATTGAGTGAAAAGTGGGAGAAGTAGCACCCTGTTTGGTCCAGGCTGATGCCACTGGGTCTGACTTCGTTTCTCTGCCTGGGAGGAAGCTGAAGGGCCAGAGGTTAACTTCCCACCCAGGCTAAAAAAGCATCAATAAATCAAATACCAACATTCATTTAAAGTATGAAATTAAATGAACAGGCCATTTGTGAAAGCAAAATTTAGCGAATTGCTATGGACGACCTGCCCCAAAATATTTTGCAATTCCAGTATCTTCGTAGTCAGGGCTGCGACTGTATTGGTGTCCCGCAGGGACCCTGGCTGCAGATGGCCCAAGAGAGGGAGGGTTAGGAATTTGCTTCTATAGAAAGTCAAAAGTGGAGCGTAGGGAAAATGTTCTTTGCTCTAAACGTTCACTTTGACTATTAGTCTCAGGGTTCAATGACACATGTAGAATTTTCTTTACTCCATATTTTCACCTCTTGCCCCTCATGGTGATTCCTAGATTTGGCCACACAGATCAGGTAGTAGTTTTTATTAATGCAGATTTCAAGCCCCCTGCCTAGACCCATTGAATCAGTATTTGTGAGATTTTTATTTAGAAAATTCCCCTCCAGACATTTTCTGATATAGCTGGTTCCGTCGTGATTGATGACCTTTCAAAATTGATATTTTTAGTGCTGATATTAAATAGCCCTTATGCCATATCATTCACTTGGCTTATTAAAATAGCACTAAACTATAAAAGCTATAGTTACTGGAAACCAAAACTTTCTATAATTATAATCCAAAGGGGTTGAAAATGGGAAACACACATGTAACATTTTATAGGATGTCAACGAAGAAAAGGAATGCTAACAGCCATCCCTTTCCCATGTTGAGGCCTCATGTTACAACTTTCTCCCACCATGAATTTTATGTCTGAGACAAAAGTATGCTCTTGGCATATAACAGCAGGCCCTACAAAACCATCAGAATTGCTTCTGACCACTGCAGTAAAGATTTTCACCTTCTCCAAGATCTCTCTGCACAAACTCTCAGTAACTCACTGTTTTCTAATATGATAATTTATAGGAGATATTTTTCTGTTATTGCTGTAAACAAAAAAAATGTTTAATAAACATAGATTGTTATTTTTTCCCATATGCTCAGCAGCTCGTTCAAATCCATAAATAGACAAGAACGTTACCCACAATGTATAAATATAGACGTAGCATGCTGTGGCTATCAGCCAAGTTCAATGTGAGCAAATTGCATTCACATGTGACTGTAAGTATCTGAAAACTGATTCTCAAAATAAATAGATTAGAAGTCATCCCATAACTGGGGGGAAAACAACAGCAAAGAAATCAACAGAAGCACTCAGGTCCAATTTTGCGTATAACTTATTCTAAGAAAACTCTGTTTCTAGCAACTTGAGATTTTAATATTGGTTCTTTCTCTAATAGTAAAACCAAATGTGCTGTTCTCTTACATGTACATTTTTTCCCTTTCTGAAAGGCCTATTCTTAGGTGGAGCTTTTAAAAATATTCATTCCATCAAACCCCTAGTATGACTCTCCCCATTCCCTGTCGAGACAGGGAAGTTTAGCAAGGTGCCATGTGCCTTTTTCATTGCTGTGTTGATTCTGAGATCCCAAAACGCAAGCCAGCTTGTAAGTTCAAACTCTTTGATCCCACCTTCTGGAAGAGAGTGCCGCATGTAGACGTAGTTGAGATAGAGAAAAAAAAAAAAAAATAGCGACCTGTGTGAAAACTCATGGGAATGATGGGAATTACCTTTTGGAGGTAGAATTTGGAAACCTACTGGAAAGTCTGAGCAAGAAAAACCCAAGTCACCTCCACTTACGAGAATGAATCAGTTGGATTAAATTAAGTTATGCATCAAGTATTTTTCACCTCTTCCTTTGCAAGAGGTGGGGAAAAAAATCAAAGATTATGAGGCAATACCAATAGTTTTTGCCTCGTTAGTGCTATAGTACTCAGTAGTTTGGAGTGATGAACCATTAGAGTGAAAATTATTCTCTTTTCTTGAAAACACATTCATCGCAATAAAAGTTTAACCTGTCCCCTGTAATGAGGTTTCTGTGGTGTTCTTCTGTGTTGGTGTATGGAGTGGGAAACTGAAGATCTATATAGATTTCACTTTCATGAAGCAAAACAAAATGGACTTTCACAGTTCAGCATTGATTTAACACAGTCGGGTATATGTTGAATAAATGGTACTCGAATGATAGTCACTGGTCATCTTTTAAAGCTTTATTCTGAAGGCCTGTTTTTCCTGTTATCTCCCTTTTACAGCCTACCTTTCCTGTGGGTCCCGCCATAGGGACAAATACAGCGATTAGCTTTGCTCCTTACTTAGCACCTGTAACCCCTGGAGTTGGGTTAGTTCCAACGGAAATTCTACCTACCACACCTGTTATTGTTCCCGGAAGTCCACCCGTCACTGTCCCAGGCTCAACTGCAACTCAGAAACTTCTCAGGACTGACAAACTGGAGGTACTTCCATTGCATTTGTGGCTTGAGATGTGTTAGTGAACTTTGTAAGTGAATGCTGGAGAGATACTAGTTCAGTCTTGAAAACACACACACACACACACACACACACACACACACACACTCATCTAAAACCCATGCATTTGGAATTCTGTGGTTGGAATTTGAGGCCAAGTATAAAGGAAACTCATCTATGGAAACTCATCTATGGGAAAAGGATCACATTGGTTCAAACAACAGTTAGTGTGGAATGTATGTTCAGGGGCAGAGAGCTTAACACTGGGGCCTCCTATCAGTCAGTACGAGGGCCCCAGAGGTGGTCCCTAGAGGCCTCCTTTCGGCCAGATGTTAACCCTCTCTGGATCCCAGAAGGGCCTGGGGAGAGAGGCCATGCTGAAGCCCAGCAGTCAGGAACTGGGAGTATTCAGGGCTCTGCAAATTACTTCTATCAGAAATCAGGATTTTCAGAACCAGTATGGCTGTTCTGTCGGGCCTCAGGGATTGTGTGGGTGGAGGGAAATGGAGCTTGGACAAATTCAGTTAAAAATGAGATCGTCTCTTTATCCTAAATTCAAGTTTTCTATAAAAGTGTAAAGAATCAACTTGATGTATTTATAAAACAGTTTGTGACTCGAGCCCAGCCCTCTGTACTTCTGTGGGTAACATTTCTCTTTCATCAGAGTGAGGGGATTCACTCACTTCTCTTACTGCTCTAGCTTATAACATCTGATAGGGATTGTCGACAGCTGTGTAAAGATCCCAGAGGTTTTTCAAATGTCTTAAGTCCACTACCAATCAAGTTGGTAAGTGCTACCCATATGGTTTAGAAGTACACTGTGCTTTGTTGAGTCATTTGAGAATGTTCTTGCAATGTGCATTTGTTTAAGTTATTTATCCAGTACGTCTTGAGAGCAATAAAATGTTGCTGTGTAATATCAGCTTCAATCTGAGGTATTTGGATCCCCAAAATGAAAAGTCTGTGAATTGCATGCAATAGCTGCCGTTTTGGGGAGATCTAGCCTTTCCCTCTGAATATGAACAGACCTTTCAGGGCCTGGGAAAGGGTTTGAGGCTCCACCTGCTGGGCCCACAGCGCCTTGGTGTTCTGTACGTGACTGTGCTTCAGAAAACAAATTAAATCAGCTGAGTGGGGAACAAATTGTCCTTCCCAACAGGACTGCAGACCGGGACATATGTACAGATGATTCACTGATTTCAGCTGAGCCAGCTCTCAGTTTGTTTCAACCCAGGAACGAAGCCGACTGTACAGGCAGATACCCTCAATAAACACATCTGAGCCACAACCTCCCGGCAGCCCTGGCTGGGACCATCCATTTAGAGTGGAAGCCTTCCTCAAAATCTCTGGGGATGGCTGAGCAATTTTTACTTTGCACATTTTATGAGCTAAATATGACATGTCGGCTAATATCCAATGTTCGAGGAAACTGAGCAATGTTGTGATTTAGCTGTTTCCCCTTCAAACCTGCTTGGGTACTAGTCGCTTGGGTACTAGTGAATCTGGGCTTATCCCAGGCTTGAAGGTCATGTTGGTGACCTTCACATGATGTCACTGATGATCAAGAAGTGAACAATCACTTAAACATACCAGCTGTAAAATCTACAAACCCCATACAGTTTTGCTGATTCTCACTTCCTAGTGACATTTATGAACATTATATATAAAAACACTTCATTCATGTTATCTATTCAGAACAAAGAATACTATTAATAAATACTAAACTTTTAGATTCTAAAGAAAACTTAATTTCTACAGTAAATTTCTGATCTACCACAAGTTTAGAAGATGCGACGTTTTCATTACTTGGGGTTTCAAAATAAGGATTTAGGAATAAAGAAGAAACACCCCCACATCAACACTTCAGGCTCTATTTACTTCACTTGGTTTATTTCTTTCCCTTGATCTCTTTCCAGATTTCTCTCCTTTTTATTTTTATTTTAATCCACATCTTTTTCTGTCCTGTCCCAAATAATCAGAGCAGCCTTAAAATGAAAGTGTTGGGCTCTTAAATATTGTATTTCTTCAGATGTATGCTTATAAAATATCTTTCAAGAGTAGGGGAAGACATCCGGGAAAACAGAAATATTCAAATTCACCCCAACCCCACTTCCTAGCTCACAGGAGGAGAATGAGCTTGTCATTCCTCCCCCCCCCCCAGTTGCTTTTAGGAGTGTGCAGCTAATCCCTGGAGGTTTGATCTGTGGCAAAAGTATCTCTCCATGAAAAATCCTGTAGCATCCAGAGTTGTCAGGGTGGGAGACTGGAGATACACGGACACACAGTTACGTAGCACTGTTCACCTCCCTAAATACACGTATTTCCAGATTGCGTGTATCCAAATTCTATGCATCCAAATTCCATACATCCACGTCCTATGTGTGGATTAAATATATCTGTCCAGATTATCATTATATCCATAACCTCCACATGCACATCTAACATCACGGTCAAGGACAACAGCCGCGGTGTTGATTTTTCTTTGTTATTTTGGCTAAGCTGCTGATTTTTCTCCATGTAGATTCTCGCCCCAGAAAAGAGCGTGAAGAAAAACTCAGATGTGTTTCTCAGGGATTCTGGTAACCAGAATTGCACTCCCCTGGCTCACTGGCCCCTTGTCCCAGACAGGACAAGCATTGACCCCTGTTGTTGAGTGACTCCCTCCATGGCTGCGCGGGCAGAGGCTTTGGGACGAGGCCTGCAGGCGGGTCCCTGCATCCTCCGCTCTTCCTCCCGTGTCCAGGTATGCAGGGAGTTCCAGCGAGGAAACTGCGCCCGGGGAGAGACCGACTGTCGCTTTGCACACCCCGCAGACAGCACCATGATCGACACGAATGACAACACCGTAACCGTTTGTATGGATTACATAAAGGGGCGTTGCATGAGGGAGAAATGCAAATATTTTCACCCTCCTGCACACTTGCAGGCCAAAATCAAAGCGGCGCAGCACCAAGCCAACCAAGCCGCGGTGGCCGCCCAGGCAGCCGCGGCCGCGGCCACAGTCATGGTAAGTGGGGCGCGCCCGTCACGCACCTTCCCCCGCCCGGGACCGGGGGGCCGCGCGCGCGCGCCCCGGGGCGCTGGGCCCGTAGGGAAGGCTGCTGTCCCTGCTGCTCCGCTGCTGAGTTCGGTGGTTGTTCTCCTCTTTTTGTTCTGTTCCGTTTCCCCTCCCTTCTCCAGCACAATAAGTAAATCCCTGAGGTGCAGGCGGCCGGCGC